CCCACCCCCCTACCCCCGTCCCTCACACCACCATGTATGATCCCCCTGCTCCCCGTCCTCGTCAGCCTCTGCCCCTCCCCGTCCCCCTTTCCCCTGCAGGGACGGCGTGCCGCTGCTAGAGGCGCGGGTGGAGCCCATGCTCCCCTCTCCCTCCTTTCCATCTATTGCGATCACACCTGCTCCGTGTGCCCCTGCCACCGCCCACACTCCCCACTCTCACACGCTACTTCGCTCTCCTGTCGCCATGGCGAGGCGTGTCATGTGCCTGTGGTGTGGTGTGGTGTGGTGTGGTCGAGAGCAGGTCGAGGGGACTTACATTGCATCCTGCCACGCTCTGGGTAATGGCCAGGCCATTGGGTTATAGATGATGGGGTATGGGGCATGGGTCATGGGGGATGGGGGATGGGGATGGGGGAAGGATGATATGCGATGTGTTAGAATACGTAGCTTAGTAGGGAGTGAGCAAGCTTAGGAGCCATGGCTAGGGTGTGAAGCTAGGTATGGACTATCGAGAGAGTTGAGAAGGAGAATGTGTTTCACTATAGAAAGTGGAGTACAAATAGGGTAGGAAAGGTGGGTACACCACCAAGAAGGAAGTTAGGATAACTACACTAAGGCTAGAACTACATGCAGTTATAATATAATTCTGACATCCCCCTTAACTGCATGCAGGAAGAGCCAAGTGCTAGACACAACCTGCAGGGGTACACCAAGCAGAACAAAGCAGCAGCACGCAAGAGCAGTGACAACCAGTGCAATAGTGGTAGATACAGTTGCAGCAACCCCGCAGCCAAGGTAGAAGCAGCAGAAACAGGAGCGTGCGGCGGCAAGGGCGGCGGCACAGCAGCAGTAGGTGCATGTGGCGGCAGGCCGCCTGGAGAGCAGGAGCGTGCGGCACAAGCGGTGGCGGCACATCTGGGCTCAACGGCAGCACCTGCCGCACAACAGCAACAGAAAGTCAAGACAAGCAAAGTGGCGACCGGGGCTGCAGGGGTAGGTACCACGGGAGCAGAGGGTGGCAGTTGCAGATGAGGGGGGGGGGGGGGGGGGGGGGGGGGGGCTGCTTCGTCCGCCACACTCTGTCGTCCCCCTTAACCGCTCTCATCCCCACTACACCTTGCTCCCCCCCCCCCCACACAGCAACATGTGCAGCAGTGGGAGAGAGAGGAGGAGAGGCGGCAGCAGGTCACCCACACCCGCCACCCCCATACCCTCCCCCCACTGCTGCACCTGCAGCATGGGGATGGAGGAGAAGGGGGGGGGGGCGGGGGGGGCTGATGCTGCAGATTCCCTCCCCCCCACTGCTGCACCCGCAGCAGGGGGAGGGAGGAGAAAAGGGGGGGGGGGGGGGGGGCGGGGGGGGCTGGTGCTGCAGATCCCCTCCCCCCCACTGCCGCATCCGCAGCAGGGGGATGGAGGAGAAGGGGGAGGGGGGGGGGCTGGTGCTGCAGATCCCCTCCTGCCACCCCCTTAACCTCCAAGCTCCCCCCCCCTTCCCAACACAAGGTGCGGCAGGGAGGGAGAGAGGAGGAGGCGTGGCGGCAGCTGCTGCTGCTGAGGCACATCCGCCACCCCCTCACACCCTCTCCCCCCCGTCCCCATGGAAGGGGGGGGAGGGGGGGAGAGGGGCGGGGGCGGAGCTGCGCATGCGACTGCAGGGCACGCGGGCAGGAAGAACCCCCTCTCGCCACCCCCTTACCCTTCATGATGCGACAGGGCACCGGAGCCGCGGCTAGGGGCGACAGGTCGCGAGGGGCCGAGGCTAGAGGCGACGGGGCCGCGGTTAGGGGCTGCAGGTCGCGAGGGGCCATAGCTAGGGGCGACGAGGCCAGTGGGGCCGAGGGGCGCGGCTAGGGGCGACGAGGCCAATTGGGGCCGAGGGGCGCGGCTAGGGGCGACGGGGCCAGTGGGGCCAAGGGGCGCGGCTAGGGGCGACGGGGCCAATTGAGGCTGAGGGGTGCGGCTAGTGGCGACGGGGCCAACGGGGCCAACGGGGCCGAGGGGGGGGGCGGCTAGGGGCGACGGGGCCAACGGGGCTGAAGGGGCGCGGCTAGGGGCGACGGGGCCAACAGGGCCGAGAGGCGCGGCTAGGGGCGACGGGGCCAACGGGGCCGAAGGGGCGCGGCTAGGGGCGACGTGGTCGACGGAGCCAACGGGGCCTTGGGGTGCGGCTAGGGGCGACGGGGCCAACGAGGCCGAAGGGGCGCGGCTAGGGGCGACGGGGTCGACGGGGCCAACGGGGCCGAGTGGCGCGGCTAGGGTCGACGGGGTCGACGGGGCCAACGGGGCCTTGGGGCGGGACTAGGGGCGACGGGGCCAACGGGGCCGAAGGGGCGCGGCTAGGGGCGACAGGGCCAACAGGGCCTTGGGGCGCGACTAGGGGCGACGGGGTCGACGGGGCCAACGGGGCCGAGTGGCGCGGCTAGGGGCGACGGGGTCGACGGGGCCAAGGGGCCGAAGCGACGGGGCGACGGGCCTAGGGTCGCGAGGGGCCTAGGGGTGTCGAGCGCGAGCGACGGGCCACGGGGCCGGGGCCTAGGGGCGACGGGCCGAGGGGCTACGGGCGCGAGCGACGGGCCACGGGGCCGTGCCGAACGTAGGGAGTAGGGCCGCACGAGGGCGGCGCGCAGGGCAGTAGGTGGTGGGCCCAAGGGTCGAAAACTTCTCTTCTACCATGTTAGAATACGTAGCTTAGTAGGGAGTGAGCAAGCTTAGGATCCATGGCTAGGGTGTGAAGCTAGGCATGGACTATCGAGGGAGTTGAGAAGGAGAATGTGTTTCACTATAGAAAGTGGAGTACAAATAGGGTAGGAAAGGTGGGTAAACCACCAAGCAGGAAGTTAGGATAACTACACTAAGGCTATAACTACATGCAGTTATAATATAATTCTGACACGATGGGGGATTGTTGATGGGACTCTCTCTCTTGTACCAATCGTCCTCACCCTTCCCCTCCCCGCCCTTCCCTTCCCTTGCCCTTTGCCTCCCTTATCTTATGAGACATGAGCATCGAGTTTCTTTTCCTCTGGATACTGTTTTTGACGAGACAAGATCGCGAATGCAGAGAAGCTAAACAACCCCACCCTTCTTTCTTCCCCCCCCCCCCCCCACCCTACTCCCGTCCCCCAAGTTTTGGCCTGCCAATCAAGCTTGGCCTGCGAGTCTTACTTATTCAATATTTGAATCAACTCGACTCAGAGTTGGTTCACTCCATCTGAGTTGACTCGACACGCTTCATACTCATGCCCTTCCCCTCCCTGGCCTTTCCCCTGCCTCAACCTTCCCCTCCGTCTCCCTTCTCTTCCCTTGCCCGTCCCTCTCTCTTCTGCAGGCCCGAAGCTATGATGGGGCATGTGAGTGGGTGCCAGGTGGAGTGAATGTACAGGGCGCGGAGTGCTCAACAGTGCGCATGCCTCGTGCATGCCACATGGCGCCACATGATTAGCCATGGGTTCGATGCGTGGTTCGCGGTGTCAGGTGAACAGTTGTACCGGTGGTAGTAGGATTCATCCTTAGACGCCATTCTGCCGGTCATGTTACTTCAGGTTAACCCATCAAGTAAGTCTTGCCCTCTGATACATGTGGTTCTTCTTTCTATGTACGCCAATGACAAACCTTTTAAGCTCATTTTTGTTTCTCTCATTTTTTTTTTTCCAAATCCTTCAAGTAAGAGAGCATCAATTTTGTGAGGTGCAGCAGGTGAGAAGCAGTGGTGATAAAATTTGGTGGAGCGGTGAGTGGGTAAGCGAGTGTTGTTAGAGACTAAGGACGGAGTCTATGAAGATTAGGGGCTGAAATATATCAAAATCGTCAACTACAATTCTGGACAGAAACGTCGTCGTCACAAGAAACGTCGTCGACGAAAGGTCCACCGTTAGAATTCTTTCAAACTCGAGTATGTTGTAGCCCTTGACCGTGGCTATCTTTCCCAATTTGAATAGTATCAAAATATGGAGTATAACTCGAGTTATGAACTTCGGCGCACTAGGGGGTATGCTGCCATAGAAAACGTAACTCAATCACAATTATCTCACAAGTTCACACAAGAAAGTTAGAGTAGCAATTAACCAGGTGGGAGGGGAGGAGGAGGACGAGAGGGAAGGTCCCCAAGGAGTTCCCAACCAAGGAAACCCCATAAGCACACCAAATCCCTTCCATATAGGAACCCCACTTTTACTTTTGTCACTTTCCAACCCATGCCATCCACCTTGCCCAACTTGGCCACACTTGCCAACCTGGTTTGGCACCTCCCAACCACTTTGCAGCATCTACAGTGATGTTGAGGAATTTCCCAACCCCCAAAAGTCTATACTCCTTATGGCGTCAACACCACAACTTCCCATAGTCACCACAACCAAATATCAAAAGCATACGAACTTCCAACGTTCGTAACTTCCTTGTTCGTGCTCCGATTGAAGCGATACTTGGTTCGTCGGAAAGCTCTTGAGCAGAGAAATCACTTCAGATATCTGCTCAAGCGAAATAACATTCACACACACTCAGAAAATCCAAACAACACCAAACACAAATTATTGCACACGCTCACACCACGCATGCAACACACGAATATATGATGGGAGGCAGACAGACGTGAATGCAAATGATAGCATCACATAACAAGTGTATGATGGCGTCTCGGTCGATGTTGTTAAACGGCATTTGACAGGTCTGCTTGCAGGATCAGAGTTTAGGGGCGTAGAAAGGTACGTTCTTGTCGTATGTACGATGGTTTCACTCCCCCTTCTACTGCCACGCCAAATTGAAATGGTAGGAAGAACTGCCGTGCAGCACCAGTAGCCACTGCAAGAGCGGACTTAGCAAAATAACAAGTCGGTGATACATTTACCTATGGCTATGAGCTGCGCCCCACGGTTGGGTTGGCTAGGGCGAGAAGGCGTGAGGAGGTGAAGAGGGCGGCGACCTGTGGTGGGAGGTTTCCTTCGAGGATGGTGTTCACCAGAGGATGGTGTTCACCAGAGCGTGCAAATGAGTTCCGACTGATGGGTTTGTCAGCGCAACGTCACCAAGGTGCTCAAATGTAGTGCCTGATGCTCCTGCACCTACACTGTTCTCACAGCGTGACAGAATTCACGTAAAATCCGCTGTTGCAATCTGCGCGGGTGTGGGCGGGCATCTCGCTTGGGGACCTACTGGCGTGGCCGTGGTGTGCACCTCCTCCGCCTCCTCCTGTGCTTCTCTATGGGGCCCATGCCTCTCTCGTTCCATTTTCTCCATTCTCTCGCCCATCCTCCCCCCTGCTCCCCTCTCCTTGCTTCGTCTACCATCCTCCCCCCTCCCCTCCCCCACCCGCCTGCCCCCTTCTCCCCTCCCCTTCCGCGTTCTCTCCTTTTTCCACACTCGCCCCCCCCCCTTTCCCCCACCTCCTCCAGAATACCCTAGTCCGCACGCCACCACCTCTGCCATTTTTCAGCTTCGCAACTCCGCGCGGGTCTCCCTTCCGTGCGCTTCTTGCCCCGCGCACGCCTCTTCTCCTCCATGCACTCGCTGGCCGCCGCATCCCCCCTCCGCACCGACTGATGCACCACTCCACCAAGCGCAGCGAGCGTTCCCTCCCGATGGCGGAGGGCGTGGCACGCAGCTGCTGCAGGGGGATGCGGATGCGGGGGTTTACCCGCTGCAGGCGATGACGCAGTGAGGGCGGGTGAGTGGCAGTGGGAAAGGGGCGTGGGTGAGTGGCAGTACGAGGGAAGGAGGGGGTTGGCTGAGTGCCATTGGTGCGGCGAGGGCGGGTGAGCGAGGGCGGCTGAGTGGCGTATCCCTTCCTCCCCTCCGCCCTTCTCCTCTCCCTACAAGCATCCCACAAGCTGTCCATCGGAGTTGCCAAAGTTCTTTCCTCGCATCTTTTCGCCTTCGCACCTTTTCCCCCCTGCATCCCTCCCCCAGGTCACTCTTCCCCCCTCTCGAATGGTCCGTGCATTAATCAGGTGGTATTACAAAGGTAGATGCAAACACAAGCATAAACAAGCAAACAAAGCCGGTATCCTAACCAGCACACTGTCGTCTACCTGCTCCCGCCCCCCTCTGTCCGACCCTACTGGTCGAACGGGGGGGGGCTCAATCAACTGGTGCAGCTGCCCCTCACTAAGAGGGGCAATGGGTCCCTGCATGCTGAGCTCGTCCACCGCCAAGGCCTCGTTGGTTTTGGAGCGGAGGGCATTGGCTTGCGCTCGTTGGAGGCAGACGCTCCAGTGCTGGCGGTACTCCGTCAGCAGCTTGGCTGCCTCATAAGAGGTTGGTGCTGCGTTGAATCGCAGCTTGGCCGCCAGCTCCGCGCACTACCGCAGGTAGGCCATCACCCCCGGGGAGGGGTAGCCGTAAGTCTCGACCGCAAGGGCATGGAAGCGCACCCACGCATTTCACCGCACGTATTTCTCCTCTTTCCTAACCACTACCGCCCTAGCTGCCCATCCAGGAGCTTGGTTACAGTGCTTGTCCTGGTGAGACTCGAGGTCCGTCACAGTCACATCGCACATCCACACCTCTCCTGTCAGGGGATGGCGGATGGTGACATCCACCTTTAGGTTCTCAACGAGAGAGTACACGTAAGTCTCATTGTGCACTGTGAAGCCCGCTTCTACCCCTATGTTTGCTATCTCATCCCAAAGAGCGTGGTGAGTAGCAATCCCCCCTCTCTCTCTTTCTCCTTTCCCCACACCCGTCACCCTCTCTCATGCTTCCCCTCTCACACCCTTTCCCGCATTCCCCCCCTCCCCTCCAGTCTCCGCCACTCGCTCCGGCCTCTTTCGCTCGCCCGTCTCAGGGGGAGTGGAAAGCGCAGTGAGCGCCCATGGGCTGCTTGCCCTAGCAGTGGTGGTCCGAAGTGCCTTCTCTCTTCCCCTTCCCCTCCCCTTTCCTCCCATCCAGTCTCCACCACACGCTCCGGTCTCATCTGCTCACCGGTGTCTGGGGTAGTGGAGAGCGTCACAAGTGCCCACACCCAACCAGCGCCAGCAGTGGCAGTGCGCAAACTGGTGGAGCGGGCGCAGTTCGCACAGCTCTGCTCTGCTCCATCATGCCCCACTCGCACCACCGCTGCAAGGGTACCCCTTGGGATCGCTGGTTGACTTCACGAGTGACGCTGATGGCCATGAGTCGCGAGGAGGGGCCAGAAAAGGGCATGTGACCGGGAATTAGAGGGAAGTGGGGAGAGGGAGGGGCAGGGGGGGAACGGGGTTGAGAGTGGGGGATGCAAGAGCCTGGGCATGGGGAACGAGAGAGAAAGGGTGCTGGTTCCTGCGTTCATGCAACTTGCGTCCAATCCAGTCGGACTCATCAGACCTGACCTTCCTCTGCCGCCCCAGTCACCCCCCAACCCACTCCACCTCACCGTCCGTTGCCATTGACCATCCGTTGCCACCTCTCCCCTTCACCATTGACCCCTCCTTCCCCCCACCCAACACCCCCTTTCCCCTGGACCCTCACTTCTTGCTCTCCCCTCTGGGCATGCACGCGTGCAACCTCCAGTCGGACCCGCGCTGCACCATGCTGCTGCAGATTCCGGGGTGCAGCGGCCTTGCCAATGCCAACGTCACCATCGTTGGGGATCTGTACTCGCTGCCGCCATCCCAGCAGGTATGGGCTGTCATGGCTGCTGTCTTGCCCCGTGCACTGCTGCTCTTCCCATCACCTCACCTGCCTCCATTTCCGAGCCTTCTTTCCCCCCTCCCCCCCTTACCGCGAACCTTAACCCCACCAGGAGTGGGCGGGGAGCTTCTATGTGAAGCGTCATTGGCACGAGGCAGCGCAGCAGCACACACATCTGCTCTTCTGGCAACTCCCCTTGCATTGCCGCTCCTCTCCACCAATCGCCCTCACCTCCTCTCCCTCTCCCCCTTTACTCACCAATGGCAGGAGCAGACGGGGAGCTTCGATGTGAAGCGGCACCAGCACGGGCAGCGCAGCAGTGGGGAAACTTCCATTTTTAACGCATGGATACCATCTGGTAACTGCACGAATAGGGTAACCACACCCATTGATATCATATGGTAAAAATGTGAATAGGGTAACCGCATGCATCGATACCATCTTGTAACTGCGTGGTTACTGTAAGCACACGCATGGATACTATCTGGTAACTGCATGATTACTCCTTTGATACATTGTTGTGTGTTTGAAACAAAAATCTTGCTTTCTCTGCTTGATCCTCTGCCCACCCACTCCCCTATGCATGCTACCCACTCCCCTATGCATGCTGCTCACTCACGCACAGCCCCTGACCTTCCCCCCCAAGCGACATTTACATTGTTGAGAGGGGGGGGGGAGGGGGGGGGCATGGTGGGTGGTGTGGATCTTTTGTGCTTGCTCGAGGTATGAAATTTATTTTTTGCACACCCCTGCCATCCTTCCCCTCCCTCTCCCACCAACCCCCGGCGACATTTACTTTGTGGGTAGGTTCGTGAGGCACGATCGTTGAGGCGCCTCAGAAACCTCAAACCACGGCTGCCGTCCCCCCCTCTCCCCCTCTCCCCCAGTGACATCTACTTTGTGGGGGTCTTTGGCATGGTGGCGTGGACTGACGTGGCTGAGTATGTGAGACCATTCTTCAACACGCCCATGTCCTTCCCTCCCGCTCACTCTCCCCCTCCTCCCCCTACTAGTGAGATCTATTTTGTGGGCGGGTTTGGCATGGTGGCATGGAAAGATGTGGCTGATGTGACAACTCTTTGCAACGTATGTACACTCATAAAACCACTTCCCCGTGAATCACCCACTTACTCACCCGGTTGCCCCTCCTCCCCACTTTTTTTTGCATTTGTTTTGTTTCAGGCGCGCTCATTTGTGGCAATTTGCGGTCCCATTCTGTAAAAAGGGACCCCCCCCCTCCCCCTCTACACTGCCCTGCCCCTGATTCAGGCTGCTATGATGCAGCGTCCCCTGCAGCTCTCCTCGCCTCTCACCGTCGCCACTCCTTTCATGTGCACCTTCTCCCCCATCATCTCGCTCTTCTAGGTATGCTTCTCCATTGTGTTGCGATGCTGTCGTGCCCCCATGCCCCCATGCTGTCGTCCATGCTGCCATGCCTCCATGTCCCCAGCCTATCATGTCATGCTGCTGTGCTGCCAGTCTCTTAGTTTCCCAACACTTGCTTTGCCTTGAGTCCCTTCCTCTCATCGACGTTTCTCTCGTCAACAGGCTTCCCCCTTCTTGGCCTTCCTCCCTGGCCCCCCTTCTTCCCCCCACCCAATCACTACCCTCACTTTTTCCACCCTCTCATGCCTCCGAGACTTAGGCATCTGCTGCCTCAGTGTCAGGGTGAGATCGCTCTACCAGCAGGATTTCCCCTTCCTTCTCCTCATCCCTTGGGAGATGACAAAGAGGAGAATGAGCCCGAGGTGAGCTCACATGCTGGGAATGATGACATCCTAACTTCTTCGACATTCGTCCAATGCGCGAAGCGTAGAGCCGCCTTCTCACTAGCATGTGCCATTTCCCACCCATCTGTGCCATGTTAACATACTAGTTCCTTTCTCACCCCTTCCCATTCCTTCGCCTCATCCCTCCTCCTTACCCTTACCCTTCCCCGCCCCCACCATAACCATCTCCACCAGCACATGCCCCTGTCATCCTCTCTTGAGGCCATGACAGCGCCACATCACTGCCGACTCGCTTGAGGTCTTCGCTCAGACCAATGTGCTGCAGCCCAAGGTGAACGAGAGCGTCTTTACGGAGCAGAAGGTGGTGGAGAGCACTTTGGCACGAAGAAAGTCGTTGCTCGGTTCAAAGTTGCCAAGTTCCCCCACGTGATTGTGTTTGTGCCTGTGAGTGTTGTGTGCATGCTGGTGCTGTGTGCATGTTGGTGTTGTGTGCATGTTGGTGCTGTGTGCATGTTGGTGCTGTGTGCATGTGAGCCTTGTGTCGCACACTCATGCCAGCTACGCCATCCCATACTATGCTAAGACACTGCTCTTATCTCACGCCTTGCATACGCGTCCCATCGTCCCCTTGTCACTGTAGTCCCCACATTCTCACACACACCCCCTGTTAACCCCTCTCCTCCCTTCTCCACCTCTCGCCACCGTTCTGCACCATGGCAGGTGTTGATAATGTTCCCGGCGCCCAGTCCAGGGAAGGAGGGTGTGCTGCAGCTGACAGTGCGGAATTCCCCGGCCCGCTCAAGTACCACACTGTTGCGACGCAACTCATGCAGGTGGGGTTGGGTGGGGTGCGGTACTGCGCATGTCGCATGGCAAGTACGATGCAGGTCGGGTGGGGAGTGTGGGGTGCTGCAGGTGACGGCCCTGTGCTTGCGGAGAAATCTTATGTGCAAGCGAGAAAGGATTACCTAAGGGGGTTGTACGATGTGGGTGCTTTTGATGCGTGCAGCCTTGTTGTCCTTCAAATCATGGTCATCATCGATGTTTTGCAAGAGGCTCAACCAATGTAAGTGCGGATTGTGAGTTGGGTGAGGAAGGGGGAGGAGTCGCCTGCCCACCGCCTTCAGTCACATCTTCTTTGCTTCTCTGCTTGCTCTCTTGTCCCGCTATTCCACTTTTTTTTTGCTACTCTGCCTGCTGTTATCCTCATGTTTCCACTTTTTTTTTGCTACTCTGCCTGCTATTATCCTCATGTTTCCACTTCTTTTCCGCTTCTCTGCCTTCTATAAGTCTTCTTGTTTCTTTTCCTCCCACTCCCTGTCCGCTCATTCCTCACCATTTGCATATGCAGCTGAAGGCGGTGGGCAGGCGAGCACAGGAGCAGGCGCAGGGATGCCGTGTGATGTGAACCCCCTCTTGACTTTTCCTCTGTGCCCCCATGCCTCACAGGCGGAAGAGCAGGTGCAGGCAGCTGTGCGGGAGAAGCAATCCCTGGAGCAGCGCATGGAGAATGTGGGGCTCTCAACGGCCAACCAGGTGAGTCTTTTTTCCCACCTGAGGCGCTGGCCTCAGGTCAAACCTATCAAACTTATATGCAATAGTCTGTTTAGGCGGTAGCGGGGTAGTTCTTATAGGATACAACACTTTTAGGTTTGCCACTTGTACCCACCTGCTTGCTAGTTCAATCATTCATTCCCTCACATTTTAACATGGTATTCTGAGCAGGTTCCCTAGTGGGAACGTTTTTTTTTAAGGGCCCACCACGATTTTTTTTTTTTCTGCCCTGCCCGAAGCGCGCATCGCGCCCTAGCCCGTCGCGGCCCCTAGCCCGTCGCGACCCCCTGCCTGTCGCGGCCCCTAGCCCGTCACGCCCCCCCCCTAGCCTGTCGCAGCCCCTAGCCCGTCGCGGCCCCTAGCCAGTCGCGGCCCCTAGCCCGTCGCGGCCCCTAGCCCGTCGCGGCCCCTAGCCCGTCGCGGCCCCTACTGCCTGTCGCGGCCCGTAGCCCGTCGCGGCCCCTAGCCCGTCGCGGCCCCTACTGCAGTCGCGGCCCTAGCCCGTAGTGGCCCCTGCTGCTGGCACGGCCCCCTGCTGACGCGGCCCCTGCTGATGCGGCCCACTGCTGACGTGGCCCCTGCTGTCGCGGCCCCCCCTGCTGGCGCGGCCCCACCTGAAGCGGCCCCTCTCGGCCCGGCCCCTGCTGACGAGGCCCACTGCTGGCGCGGCCCCTACTGGCGCGGCCTCTGCTGATCCGGCCACCTGCAGTCGCGCCCCCCCTGCTGTCGCCACCCCTACTGGCGCGGCCCCTGCTGTCCCGGCCCGGCCCTGCACCCGTCCCTGTTGCGGCCCCCCCTGCCGTCGCCACCCCTACTGGCGCGGCCCCTGCTGTCCCGGCCCGGCCGTGCACCCGTCCCTGGTAAGCACCCGCGCCGCCCAGCCGAGCCGCGCCGCCCAGCCGAGCCGCGCCGCCCAGCCGAGCCGCGCCGCCCAATCGAGCAGCGCCGCCCAGCCGAGCCACACTGCCCACTGAGCCGCGCCGCTCTGCCGAGCCGCGCCGCCCTACCGAGCCGCACTGCCCTGCGCTGCCTCTGCTACTACTGCTGCTATTGCTGCTACTGCTGCTACTGCTGCTACTGCTCCTACTGCTGCTATGGCTAGCCCTACTGTTCTCACCTTTGATGCTGAGGGACGTGCAGTTGACTTTGACGTGTGGGTTGACGACCTACAGCTCTTTCTTCAGTGTGATTCTAGGGATGGGGTCTCCCTTTTCGATCACACGTCCGGTGTTTCTACTGCTCCTGCTGCCACTGCTGACAGTACGGTTCGCTCGCAGTGGACCACTCGTGATGCTGTTGCTCGTCTTGCTGTTCGTAGTCACCTGCCGCCTGCTGAGTGCGCGCATTTTGGCCAGTACAAGACTGCTTAGTCTTTGTACGACGCTGTAGTTGCGCGCTACTCCTCCCCTGCCACTGCTGCCCTCGGCCGCCTCATGCTGCCGTACCTTTTCCCTGACCTTGCCGCCTTTGCCACAGTCCCTGACCTCGTTGCTCACATCCGCACTAGTGACGCCCGCTACCGTGCTGCCCTTCCCACTGAGTTCTGTGCCAAGAACCCCCCCCCCCATGTACATCACCCTTTACTACCTAGTCACCCGCCTCCCTGACTCCCTTTCTTCAGTCAGGGACCACTTTTTCTCCCTTTGCCCCACCGAGCTGACTGTCGACCTGCTAGAGGAGCGCCCTGCTGCGGCTGAGAAGAGTATCTTAGCTGTAGGTGCTTCTCGCGGCAACCGTCGCACCCCTTTCTTTGAGGGGTGTTCCCCTGTCCCCCTTCTCCCCTCTATTGCTTCTGCTGCTGCTGTCGACCTCGTTGGCACTGAGGAGGTTGGAGCTGCGTTTGCCCCTAGTGGGAGACGCCGCAACAGCAAGGGCAAAGGGAGCAAGGGTGGTGGAGGGGGCGGCGGGGGAGGCGGTGGAGGAGGTGGAGAAGGCGGAGGGGGTAGTGGTGGAGGTGGGGGTGGTACCGGGAGTGGGGGCTTCAGTGGCGGAGGAGGAGGTGGTGGAGGCAGCGGCGGAGGTGGAGGGGGCAGCGGCAGCGGTGGTGGAGGTGGCGGCGGCGGTGGTGCTGGTCGAGGTGCAGCCGCGCAGCGTGGAGGCTTTGGTGGTAGCCAGCGCCAGCAGCAGCCGCGCTCCCGTGAGACCCCGTCGGCCCAGCAGCTTCGTGAGTGGTACGCTGGGCGTGGGAGGTCTGGGGGTGCTGGTCCCTGCACTTACGTTCTTTGCACCGGCAGATGTCGTGGGGAGGCGTGTGGGCTGCCACACACTACGCAGCGCTGCTTCGGTCGCTTGACTGACACCTGGCGTGCCCAGTTTCCTGACGCTGTGGAGCTCCCTCGCTGGCATGATCTGCTTCTGCAGAATGTGCCTATCTTTGATCTTGATTTCGATGCTATCCTTGCTGCCATGTATGCTTTGACTGATAGTGCTGAGGATGACTGTTACCTGAGTGTCCCGCCCGACCCGGGCATTGCGGCTGCTGCTCTAGGTGCTAGTGTGTCTGCTGCTCCAGGTGCTGGTGAGTCTGCTGCTCCAGGTACTGGTGAGTCTGCTCTCTCTGGTACTGCACCTACTGAGGCCTTGCACACTTTCACACTTGACTCTGGTGCTTTGCGCTCGTTCTTTAGAGACAGCACCACACTCACGCTGCTCAGTCGGCCTGTCGCAGTCTCCCTTGCTGACCCCGCTGGGGGCCCAGTCCTTGCGCACTCTTCCACGGTTCTACCGTGTCCTGCGGCCCCGTCGGGCTTGCTGTCGGGACTCCACCTCCCCTCGTTCTCTACAAACTTGGTGAGTGGAGCTGACCTCCAGGACGCGTGGGTTGACCAGTTCGCCCCTGGAGGTCAGCGTGTGACCGACTGCACTTGCTCTCGGATGGGTCGCCACCTGGCCACGTTCACCCGTCGGCCTGGGTCGAGTCTCTACACACAGACTACTGCGCCCCCTCCGGTCTCTGCGTCTGGTCGGGTAGCCGCGTCTAGTTAGGTGTTTGCTGCCGCATCTAGTCCTGCGTCTGCCCCCTGCTCGTGTCGTCCTCTGACGCACGAGACTCTCCTTTGGCACCACCGCCTTGGTCACCCCTCCCTGCCTCGTCTTCGAGGTATGGCCTCCCGTGCCCTTGTCTCGGATCTCCCCCGGTGCCTTCCTCCTCTTCCTCCGGGGCCTGCCCCCACCTGTGTTCCTTGTGTTGAGGGCCGGCAGCGCGCCGCTCCTCATTCCTCCTCGTTCCCTCCGACAGAGGCTCCCCTGCAGACTCTTCACATGGACGTGTGGGGCCCAGCCCGCGTCCGTGGACAGGGTCACGAGCGTTACTTCCTGCTGGTCGTTGATGACTAGTCGCGTTACACCACAGTCTTCCCCTTGCGCAGCAAGGGTGACGTCACTGAGGTGTTGATCGACTGGATCCGCGGTGCCCGTCGCCAGCTCAGCGAGAGTTTTGGCTCGGACCTTCCAGTTCTGCGTCTGCACTCAGAGAGGGGTGGTGAGTTTTCCTCCGACCTCCTGAGGGCCTTCTGTCGTGCGGAGGGCATCCGCCAGACGTTCACACTTCCGGCCTCCCCACAGCAAAATGGGATTGCTAAGCGCCGCATTGGCATGGTCATGGACGTCGCTCGTACGTCCATGATCCATGCGGCTGCTCCCCATTTTCTGTGGCCGTTCGCAGTTCAGTACGCTGCGCATCAGATCAACCTTCAGCCTCGTGTCTCCTTACCGGAGACCACACCTACTATGCGGTGGACGGGGAAGGTTGGCGATGCGTTTGTGTTCCGTGTCTGGGGATCTCGAGCTTTTGTCCGCGATACTTCAGCGGACAAGCTGTCCTCCCGTGCCGTTCCTTGCGTCTTCCTTGGCTTCCCCCCTGACGCACCTGGGTGGCAGTTCTACCACCCCACCTCGCGTCGTGTTCAGTCCTCTCAGGACGTCACGTTTGACGAGTCGGTGTCTTACTACCGTCTCTTTCCCTACCGCGCTGCCTCTCTCCCCCCCCCGCCACTCTTCCTCGCACCAGGTAATCCTCCGGTAGACCCCCTCCCCCCTCAGGGTCCTGCCCCCTCAGGTGTGTCTCAGGTAGACCCTGCCGAGCCGGTCGAGGTAGCTGTCGACTCAGGTGCTATTAGGGGTGCTGAGCCTGCGGGTGCGGGGACTGGGGGTGCAGAGCCTAGGGGTGCGGAGCCTGAGCGTGTGGAGCCTGGGGGTGCTGAGCCTGAGCTTGTGGAGCCTGGGGGTGCTGAGCCTGAGCTTGTGGAGCCTGGGGGTGCTGTGTTTGGGGGTGCTGAGTCGGGAGGTTCTCCGGGTGTCCCATTGCGGCGAGAGCCCCTCTCTCCGCAGCGGCTTCGTGAGTGGTACGCTTGGCGCTGTAGCCGTGCTACTGGTGCTGGTGTTATTGGAGGTGCTGCTGGTGCTGGAGCTGCTGGAGGCGCTGTTGGTGCTGGAGCTACTTGAGGTGCTGCTGGTGCTGGTGCTGCTGGAGGTTCTGCTGGTGCTGCTGGAGGCGCTGTTGGTGCTACAGCTACTGGAGGTGCTGCTGGTGCTAGTGCTGCTGGAGGTTCTGCTGGTGCTGGAGCTGCTGGAGGAGCTGCTGGTTTTGATGTTGCTGGAGGTACTACTAGTGCCGGAGTTGCAGGAGCTGTTGATCCTGGAGGTGCTCGTTATGGAGGTCCTGGAGCTGCTGGGGCTGTTGGTACTGCAGGCGTTGGCGCTGCAGGTACTGAGGCTGGTGGTGCTGCGGGAGTTGTAGCTGGCGACCCTGGAGCTGAGGGTACTAGTGCTGTCTCTGCTCTTTCTGGAGGCGCTGCGCGACCGTGGCCGTACTACGTTCCGCTCCTTCAGCAGGTTCTTGGTCTACCACCTTCTCCTGGTCCTCCTCCTCCTTTACTGAGTCCACAGCCTGTCCAGTCAGAGTCTCAGTTACAGCCGTCCTCTCCACTGCCTGGTCCTTCTCCTTACTCTGGACCGACTAGAGGTCTTACGGAGCGTCGTGAGCCTGAGTCGCGTCCTGTGTCGCCTGTGTCTCATGCTGTGTCGCCTGTCCGCACTACTCGCGCTGGTCTTGTTTTGCGTCCACGTCCTCCTCCTGTCCCTGGCACTCACTCTATGACATTGCGTCCTTCCACTGCTCCACAGCGTGTCCCTCTGCCCTCTCCTCCTGTGTCCTCTCTTCCTGACGGTCCGGACCCGGGGTCTGACTCCCTTCGTGCTGCTAGTCCTACTGTCCCGCACTTTCTAGCCACTGCGGTCACTGACCCTCTGTTTGAGTCCTCTACTGCGTCAACTCTCGTTGCTGAGCTTGTTGACTTTGCTGCAGCCTGTCGCCTAGACTTTGCCACTAGTCTTGTTGCTTAGTCTGCCTCTGAGTCTGTCTATCCTCCGTCCGTCGGGGGTGAGTGTGCTCTTGGCACGGACGTTCTTGAGGACAGACAGGAGGAGTTTGAGTGCTTTCCCGCTGCTGTACCTCATCTCGTGTCCATGCTGCTTGCCCCTGAGGGAGACCCGGATGCACCAGATATCCCGACCCCGCGCTCTTACGCAGAGGCGATAGAGGGTCCCTACTCCTCTCAGTGGCAGGCAGCCACGGACGCCGAGATGGCTTCCTGGAAGTCCACAAGCACCTACGTCGACGAGGTTCCCCCGCCTGGGGCGAACATCGTCAGTGGCATGTGGATCTTCAGGGTGAAGCGACCACCGGGTTCTCCGCCTGTCTTCAAGGCGCGTTACGTTGCACGTGGCTTCAGTCAGCGACAGGGAGTTGACTTCTTCCAGACCTTCTCTCCTACCCCAAAGATGACCACTCTTCGGGTACTGCTGCACGTTGCTGCTCACCGTGACTACGAGCTCCACTCGCTTGACTTCAGCACAACCTTCCTACAGGGCAGCTTGCACGAGGAGATCTGGCTGCGCCGCCCACCTGGCTTCACTGGGTGGTTTCCTACTGGTACCCAGTGGAGCCTCCGGCGGCCAGTCTACGGTCTCCGCCAGGCACCTCGTGAGTGGCACGACACACTGAGGACGACTCTTGCTGCTCTTGGTTTTGCTCCTTCCACTTCTGACCCTTCTCTATTCTTACGCACTGACACCACTTTGCCGCCGTTCTACGTTCTCGTGTACGTAGACGACCTCGTCTTTGCTACTGCTGACACTGAGGCACTCGCCCACGTGAAGTCCGAGCTGCAGAAGAGACACACGTGCACAGACCTGGGTGAGCTGACAAGCTATCTTGGCTTGCGGATCACCCGGGACAGAGCACAGCGCACCATTATCTTGACTCAGTCACACATGGTGCAGCAGGTCCTTCAGCGCTTCGGCTTCACGTACTCCTCGCCACAGTCCACTCCTCTGCCTACCGGTCACTCGCTCTCAGCTCCACCTTCGAACGAGTCATTAGAGCCGAATGGCTTGTATCCAGAGCTTCTGGGCTGCCTCATGTACCTGATGACTTGCACACAACCTGACCTTGCATACCCTCTCAGCCTTTTGGCTCGCTACGTGGCTCCCGGTCGACACCGAAAGGTGCACTGGGATGCTGCGAAGAGGGTGTTGCGCTACCTGTGCAGTAGATCGGGCATGAGGCTCGTTCTTGGAGGACGGGCTCGAGTTGTCCTCACTGGTCACGCAGACGCTTCCTGGGTTGACGACTTGGCTACGCAGCGGTTGTCACAGGGTTACACCTTCAGTCTTGGTTCCGGTTCTGTCTCTTGGCGGTCTACCTGCTCTTCTTCTGTTCTCAGCTCCAGTTGTGAGGCTGAGATCTACGCTGGGGCCATGGCTGCACAAGAGTTACGCTGGCTCACCTACCTGTTGACCGACTTTGGAGAGGCGCCTCGTTCTCCTCCAGTTCTGTACGTCGACAACAAGGCCATGCTGACCTTGTGTCAGGAGCACAGACTGGAGCACAGAACGAAGCACATTGCTCTGCGCTACTTCCTTGCTCGAGAGTTGCAGCAGCGTGGCCAGCTTCGTCTCGCTTACGTGGCCTCCCAGGCCAACATTGCTGATGTTTTCACCAAGGCACTTCAGCCTTGTGATCATCAGCGTTTCTGTACTCTTCTAGGCCTTGTACCTACTGTGCCTCACTTGCTTTCTTCTTGACTCTGCTTGTACTGTACTCTATATATCTATACCTGCATGTTTACACTTGCTAGGTTGTGTTCACTGTATTGTTTGTTTTCTTTTATATAACTCTGCATGTGAACTGGCCTTGTGGCCATTTGCTTGTGCTCAGACTGCGTGGTGACTTTGTGATCCACCCTGAGCTTGCTTTGCCTTTCTTGACTGGTCTTGTGACCTCTTGTTCTCCCCCACTTTGCCTATGGGGGTGTGTCAAACTTATATGCAATAGTCTGTTTAGGCTGTAGTGGGGTAGGTTTGCAATGTGTCAACACTTTTAGGTTTGCCACTTGTACCCACCTGCTTGCTAATTCAATCATTCATTCCCTCACATTTTAACAAAACCTAGCGGCAATGTGTGATAGGCATACCTTGGAGCAGTAGGTCACGCCAGCATCTTAAACTGCTTCAACCCCATACTGGCAGGGAGGAGGGACTGGTGGGTGAGCCTTTCCTCCTCCTCCTTGCCAGTAAGGAAAAGGATCGGGTTAAAGGAGTTTCAGATGCTGGCGCGAGCTACTGCTCCAAGGTATGCCTATCCCATATCGGCGCTAGGTTTGTCCTGAGACCAGCGCCTCAGGTGGAAAAAAAAGGCTCACCTGGTCGGCCGTTGAGAGCTTCAGGTTCTCCAGTTGCTGCTCCAGGGCTTGCTTCTCTTGCACAGCTGCCTGCACCTGCTCCTCCACCTGTGAGGCATGGGGGCGCAGAGGAAAATTCATAGAGGGTTCACATCACACGGCATCCCTGCGCCTGCTCCTGTGTTTGCCTGCCCACCGCCTTCAGGTGCATGTGAAAATGGTGAGGAATGAGCGGCCACAGAGTGGGAGGAGGAGTGGAGTGAGAGGAAAAGAAATAGGGGAACTTATAGCAGGCAGAGAAGCTGAAAGAAGTGGAAACATGGGGATAATAGCAGGCAAAGAAGCGAAAAATAAGTGGAAATAGCGGGACAAGAGAGCAAGCAGAGAAGCAGAAAAGACGTGACAGCGCCTCGTTCCCCTTCACCTCCTCCCTCAGCTAGGCATTTGCCGCCCGACTGTTCTCCAAATACTGCATGGCGGTTGCTAGAGTGCTGCCTGCCCGTCCCATCTGTTGCACTCCAGTATTTGAAACTGCTTCAACCCCATCCTCACTGCCTCTCACTCCCTCCTCCCCTGCATGTCCTCACGTCCCCACGCATCTCCGTTCTCCCATACTCCCCGCCAGGTCAAAGCGTTGGAGCAGCACTCGACAGCAGTGCTGGATGGGCTGGTAGCTAGGCTGGCGACCACAGTGCAGCAACTGGAGGAGAGCCGGGCGGCACATGCCAAGCTGAATCTGCACTCGTCAGCAGAGCGGGATGAGCTGGCGGCCAGGCTGGAGACCGCTGAGCAGCGATTGGTGGAGAGCCAGGTGGAAGAGGCCAATCTGAGGGAGGAGGTGAAGAAGAAGGAGGCGCAGGTAGAGCAGCTAGTGGCGGTTTCCAAGTATCTGGAGGAGAGACGGGCGGCAGAGGCCCAACTGAGGGAGGAGGTGAAGGAGAAGGCGGCCCAACTGCAGGCGCAGTTGCAGGCGCTTTCCAAGGAGCTGGAGGAGCTGAGGGGGATGAAGGGGGTGAGTGTTGTCATGTGTGGGCTGGGCTGTTATGTGAGGGTTCAGAGGGAGAAAGAGGCAAATTTGGAGCATCTGGAGGAGATGCAACGGGCGGAGATGATACAACATGGTCTCCGATTTGAATCCCTTTTTCCGCACGTGTCCCAGAGGAGATGGGGCGGAACCTTGCGGAGCATGCGAAGCTAAAGGAGGTGTACAAGGAGGAGGCTGTGAAGCGCAAGGAATACTACAACATGCTGGAGGGTGAGTGGACTCGGTATTGGGGCATGGCTTGGGCGTGGGTTGTTCATGGCGTGGGCGTGGCTTGGGCGTGGCTTGGGCGTGGCTTGGGCATGGGTGGGTGTCGGCCGCTGGGCAGCTAGGAGTGGTCTGTCGGAGTTGTATGGTACCCTGAACTCCTCCGTTCCCCCTTCCCTGCCCCCACTCTCTCCCCTTTTGTGCACATTTAGACATGAAGGGCGAGATTTGTCGGGGCTGCCGCTGGTCTATGCGTGATAAAAAACTTCTTAAATGTAATAAGCAGGTTTCAAGTGCGGTGGACGATCGGTTTTTTACAATCGATCGTGCAAAATCGTAAGGGGTGACGCGTCCTCACATTTTGCGTTAGCTCGTTTTGACTTTTCCTCACAGTCCTATGCTTTCCAGGTCCGGGGTATATGATCATGGTTACAATCATAATATAGCATTAACCTATGCTTTCCATTTCTCTATGCATCGGCCGTACCATCCCCGCAACCTTGTCCTCCTCGCGGTTATCTCCTTCCCCGGATCCGTTGACTTGCAGAGTTGCTAGTTGCGAGGTTTCACATGTCGTGTTGTGCTTTTGTTTCGAGTCAACCTGAACGCGATTGAGGCACCAAGCAGTGCGATGGAGCAGTGTGGGACATTGCGAGGCGCTGGCTTGCAAGTTGAGAGTAGAGGCGATCGCTGTGCGGCTGTGAGTCTTCCCAACTGTCGATCACCCACTCCACGGCTTGCAGCGACCACGCCAAGGGTACTCCCATGCTGCCACGGCATGGGGGGGAGCTGGCTTAGGCGTCTACCACAGCTCGCGTACAGAGTCGCTCTGCTCGCTGCTTTATCTCCCTCCACACGCTCGCTCTGATGCCTTCCCTTGTTCGTTTCCGGGCACTTCGTTTCTACTGAACACTGCGATTGAGTGGTGCGTGAGCTGATGGTTGGACGAGCAATGTTGCGATGACCCTTTCGGCTGGACCAACCACGCCATGGGCCGTAAGGCAACACCATGCGGGGTGTATTTTGAGCTCCTAAGGGGGGGGGGGGGGGGGAGGGGGGAGAGGGGGGAGTGGGGGGGAGTCATTAGGAGTCTAGCACAGCGCTGCCTAGCGAGTCACCGTGTTTTTCTCTAACATCACTTTGTACTGTCCAATCTTTAAATGCTTCCTCTCCTTCTTTCCCGCACCTCTTTCCTTCGTTCCTTCCCGTGTTTTCCTTCCTTCCCCTCGACGCAAGAGGAAGAGAGGGGAGCCATTAACGCACATGAGAGGGGAGCCCTTCATTGCGAGGGGCAGAGAGGCAAGAGGAAACAGCAGCTTCGCATCTCCCAACCTTCCTTCATCCACCCGCATTGGGGAGCTAATAACACACGTCAGCCAGAAAACTCCACTATTCTGCAATTATCAGGGGACATGCTGGAAGGGTGAGAAGGTGCTGACGTAGGGATGAACGAGTCTGCACAGTCGGCAGCACGAGAAAGCCCTTTGCTTATGCAAGTATCTGCATGTTTTCGCTTCTGCAGATTTCTCAAGCTCCCCACCATTGACTGCAACCGACGCTGCAACTCGTACTCCAACACCTCACCCTCCTCTTCATCAAGGTGCAGCTGAAACCCTGAGGGTAGAGGAGTCTTCACACTCCTCCCTTCCTCCAGCCCATACTTATCCCCCATGGCTGCAAGGTACTTGTGTTGGTGAAGCCTCAACCATCCCTTCACCTCGTCCCGCTCCACGTGAAGACCAAGGTAATACCCCACAGGTCCAAGGGCCTTGCATTAAAAGCTCTCTAGTAGTTTTCCTTGCAACTCCTTGATCCTCTCCAGGGATGGAGAGAAGAGGAGGATGTCATTGACGTAGACAAGGAGAAACACCTTCTCCTCCTCCCCCTCAGTAGTGAAGAGACTCTCGTCGCACCCGCTAACTTTGAAGCCAAGAGCCTCCAACGCCTCCACCAGCCTTGCACACTAGCATCTTGAATCTTGTTTGAGGCCATAGATGGCCTTGTTGAGCCTGAAAACACGTCCGCTCCCATCGTCATACCCCTCTGGCTGCTTCATGTAGATCTCCTCATCTACCACGCCATAGAGGAACGCCGTCTTCACATCCATTTGCTCCACCTTCCAGACACAAACGGCAGCGGCTGCTAGCAACACCCAGAGTGTAGGAGCCTTGGCAACAGGAGAAAACACCTCTTGAAATTCAATCCCCTCTCTCTGCTGAAAGCCCTCGATCACAAGCCTTGTCTTGCGCCTCTCCAACTTCCCCTCCGCATCGGTCTTTACACGTAACACCCACGTGCAATCCAACACCTTTCTTCCCGGGGGCAGATTGGTGAGGGTCCACGTTTCATTCTCCATATGGCTCTTGAACTCATCCTCCCTTGAAGCCAACCAAGCCTCTCGATCATCTCGACCGAGAGCTTCCTCCATAAACACCAGCTCATGAGGTAAGTTGATGCCAAAGCAACAAATCTGCTCGATCTCCCCCTCAGCTCCCTTCTCCTCATTTTCCTCCTCCTGGACCAGCAATGCCTTGGGACCCCCAAGCCTTTCATACTTGAGGAAATCCCTTGGGTGGGCAGCTCTCTTGGGCCTCTCTTTGGCTGCTCCTTCCTTGGCTCCACCACAGACAACATCACGCTTCCTTTGGGTTGTGCACCTTGGTGGAAGCTTAGGGGATGGTGTAGGCTGCTGCACCTCCTCTTCGGTATCACCACTCTCAGCTACAGGGGCCTCGACTTGCTGCAGTACTCCTTCCACATCTTCTGCCTCCCATTCAACACCTCCCAAGTCATATGACACCTCTGTCAACTCTGAAGATGAGGACAACTCGATGGGAATGAGAAGTGGGTCGTTCGTTCCCACCTCTATTCCAAGCGGAATGGTGACCTTGCTCCTCCTCCGCTCCAACCACTCCTTGAACATGAGCCCCTCCATGAACTTGGCATCCCTAGTGGTGAAGAAGGTGTTGGATTTTGGGTCCCACATGAGCCAGTTCTTGCTCCCCCGTGCAAGACCCAAATGAACAGCCCACACCGCCGCCGCTTGAAGCTTGTGACGCTTCTCCTTAGGGACATGCACGAGCCCCATGCACCCGAAGACACGAAGCATATCCAACAGGGGCTTCTTGCCACTCCACTTCTCCATAGGGACCCAATGCTGACCTCCCACATGAGTCAACACCCGGTTCTTGATGACGGTAGCATGACGAATAGCGAGGGGCCAGAACCGCAAGGGTAGACCCGAGTCCACCAATATCGTTCTCCCGCACTTTATGATGGTCAGGTTCGCTCTCTCTGCCACGCCGTTGGATTGAGGGGTGTACGCCGTGGTGAGCTGCTGCTTGATGCCATGCCGCTTCAACCAGCTCCGGAACTCCGCTCTCAAAAACTTCCCACCACGGTCGCTACGAATCCCCTTCACCCGCTTGCCGCTCTCTCGCTCCACCATGGGCAGCACTCTTCAATGATGACCCTTGCAGCATCACTCTTCTTTGCAAGTGGAAAAGACCAGGTGAGCCTTGGGTAATCATCCACCATAGTCATGGAATACATGGCCCCACCATCTCCCTTCACCTTCATGGGCCCCACAAGATCCACTTGCACGAGCTCCACCGGGTCACTTGACTGCCCCACCGCCGAATGGAAGGGAAACCGTGAGAACTTGCTGGTCAAGCAAGTCTCACAAGAGCCCACATCCTTGGGCTCCCCCTTTATCCTCAGCCCCTTGACTCTTTCCTCCTTAAACAGCTGATGTAACTGAGGTAGCGCCACGTGGCCAAAGTGATGGTGTACGGTGAGCCAATCTGTCTCACCCGTGCTAGGAGTTACACTTGGTAGTTTACCCTCCCCATGCACAAGCAGCCCACCATCACTGCCATCACCACCTCCTCCACTGGTTACGTGGCTTGCATGCCCTCCTCTTACAGCTTCAGCAGCCAAGCGCGCAGCCGCCTCCTTCCATGGCAGCACCGGTATCTCCCACATGGACCGGTGCATGTCCTTGCCGCCTCGGAGGTCCCACAACACGTGCCCATCCAGAGTTGCCTTGAACACCTTTGTGCCCATCATCTCCATCTTCATCCCTGCCTCACAATGACTTGGTAGAGAGAAGGTTGGCACATAGTCCAGGGACAAGAAGAACACGCTTCAGCCCCACAAGCCTCCCATCCGCACTCATAAACATGGTTGGCTCTCCCCTCGCCACGCACGGGTACAACTTGGCCGGTGGCTGAAACGACGGTAGCTGCCTTTGATGGCCTGACTTCATCCAGTAGATCCTTTCAGGTTGTCATGGTCATGAAGGCTCCCGTGTCGATGACCCAATGGGAGGAGCGGTGAGGAGCAACCTTGCTGGCCGGTGCAACCATGTCCTCGGAGCATGCCTCTCCTACATGGTAGAACATGCCACCATGTCCGCCAGCACCTCCATCGCCCTCCTCGCTGCCCATGCCTTCTCCCGTAGCTCCATGAACACCCTTAGAGCCTTCAATTGATGGCTGACCAGGCCTCCAACCGTCAGGTAGCTTGCGACAAATAAACCACGGGTGACCTTCCACATGGCAATACCAACACTTGCCGTCACACCGCTTGCCTCCCTTGTTGCCACGCTTCCCTCCCGAACACTGCTCCCCTCCGGAGCCTTCCTTGGCCTTGACTTTCTTGCTTCCACGCCCCTTGAAGCCTTTCATGCCGTAGGCAGAGCCTCCACCTTCACCGGCAGCGGCAGTCAGCTCCTTTGTCCGAAACTCCTCTTGAAGGACTTGAGCACGGATCCACTCAAGGGACCATGAGACCTTCATGCCATTGAGGTTGACCACCAAGGGGCCCCACGACTCCGGCAGCAGGGAGAGAGCCTTGTAGCACTTGATCTTCTCAGGGTAGTCCACACCAGCAGCAGAGAGATTCACATCGAGGTCCCGGAGTTGATCGAACGTTCCTTCCACGGCATCACCCTCGTTGATCTTCACCGCATGGAGTTGTCGCTCGAGCACCACCACCATCGCTTCGCTGCTGGGGGCATGGACATCCTTCAATATTTTCCATGCCTTGGGACCACACTGGATATCCTTGATGAGATGCTTGACGTGGTGCAGCTGGTTGGATGAGAGGCATTGAGAGAGAAGGAAGAATCCATCCTTGGATCGGCGATCCCATTCCTTGGTCGCTCCTTCGCTCGCAGGCCTCTTCAATTCTCCATCCATCACTTCAAGCAGCCCATAATGGTTAAATAGGAGCTCCATCCTGAAGCTCCATGATGC